AGCATATTGTTTGCATGGGTGTAATAAAGGTCAGGCCAGAAGATATTAAGGCTAAGTTGTACATACCTTTAAATTTATTATGCAGCGTACTTTATCTCTTTCACTCCTGATTTTCGACACATATGCTCGGATAAAATATGGATATAACGAACAGTAATCAAGCTCAAAAGTCCAAAGGAACAGCAGAAATTTGGGGCGGAGCAAACATTGGCCTCTTAAAGCATAAAGAGTGGGATCAAACGCGATGTAGTGAGTTGTTAAACGGTCATATCCACCCTGTGCTCCTTGTCATGATCAGGCAAATGGAAAACTCCGTAGAAAATTCAGTGTTACAATAATGGATTAATAATTTGTATTAAAAAAGATCAGTTAACATTCGGCTTAACAATTGATTGTATTTACTAACTAGTTCAATGTATCGATTTTATGTTACGTAGGTGTAGAGTCCAGTCAGATCCCAAAGATTTTTTTTATATTCTATTAAATATTCAATTTTGAGTCATAATCTTTAACCCTTGTAGGAGGAACATATACATTTCACACTTTTGATAAAGGGCCCACTGTTTCCTGTAACCATTCATATTCAGGGATTTGTAGCTTGATATCCATGAGGAAAATGATGTATTTGAAAGATGTTTTGTATATTCAACTTTTCCCGACACTTCTCCATTCTCGGAAAAAAAATCTTGGACACAAGGATCACGATTTTCCCAGTTAAATTATTGGTAAAGTAAGAAAAAAAAGGTGCAGTGTGCATGCTGGAATCTGAACCAATAACCAAGAGAACATAATTTCACTGTTGTTCATGAATACCCTAAATCTTTACACTTTTGCCACGTAAACATATATATTACGAAATTTAGAATACTAAAATCCTGGAGAGAATCTCAATTAGTGAAACGAATTTCATTTTGTGAAACGAATTTCATTTTTTTTAAAAACCTTTAAATAAGTCTTTCTCGTATAATAAAGGGTGTTGTAAAGATAATATCTGATAATAAACAGGATTTAAACCAGAAGTCTCTGATGAGACTGTAGCTCTACTGGTTTGTACTTATAACAAAAAGAAAAAGTAAAAGTAGCACTTGGACCTGAAACTATGCAACAGCAAGAAGGAACATAATGATTCTTGGTGTGATCTCTTTTTGTGGCAAAAATTATTGCAATCAGAGTAATTTGTAGGAGGAATAGCCTTTTGAAAGAATGTTTAAGAAATTTCTGTTTTTAGTAACCATAGCAGCACTGTTCATCGAAATCCAAAAAAAGAAAGATAAGAAAATTATGTATCTTAGTAAAGTCCACCTGTGTGCTAAGTTATATTGAAGTCAGACCAGAACTGTAGGAAGAGTAGCGTTTTATAAGAATTTCAGAAAAATTCCTAGATTTAGTAACAATGTCATCATTATTCATTGAAATCAAAAATTGATTCTCAGAATTATGTATCTTAGTGAAATCTATTTGTGTACCAAGTTGTATCAAATTCAGATCAAAACTGTATGAGGAGTAGCGTTTTGAAAGAATTTAACAGAAATTTCTACTTTTAATAACCATGGGAACAAGGTTCATAGGAATAAAAAAAAGACAATAAACAGAGGGTTATATTTAAATCAAACCAAACCTGTAGGAGAAGTATCATTTTGAAAAAAAAAAGTTCTCTGACCGACAGACAGACAGGCCGACGACGGACACCTTGCTATTGCATAATCTCTTCTGGTCTCTGACAAGTAGAGCTAAATATATCAAAACCTTTTCAAATGGAGTAAAGCTGCAAATAAACTTTGACATAATGGTTAAATCCAAAGAGAATCTTTGATTTTAATTAAATTTATTCGGTAATGTTAAATAAATGTGACAGGAAAGATGATTTCTGCAATTGACAGGACTTAGACAACCTTAGTCTAATAAAAAAATCTCCTTACTTATATTTTTACATGATATATCATTAAAATATATATTTAAGGTAGTCCAATCGTCAGGCTCTGAAAATCAGGAGTTTATGTAATTGAAAATGTTTACAGAATCTCTTAATTCTCAAAGAAATATGGTATTTCTTCAAAGATCATTATTGTAGTTAATCATAATGTACGAACCTGCGAAATAAGGATCATCTCCTTACTTCGCGCCTCTAGAGCAGGCGCTCTGACCACTGCGTCACGCGGGCAACCTATTTTAAGCGTAATATTTTCATTAAATAATAATTTCAAGAGTTACCCTCCCTGGCTGGGGAGCGGATAAATATCCTGGCCTCAAGGCCGTAAAATGAGAACAAACTTACGTCAAAATTTCAAACCAATACAATTTTTGAAATAATTTTGATAATGTAAAAAACATTTCACCATATGTTTAAATTTAAATGTTATATAAAAATGCAAATTTGAAAGCAAATACATTCCATAAAACTTAAGATACTAAAAATCTAAATTTTGACTTAAGATGGTCTTGGGGCCTGAGAGAGTTTCTGGAAACACCATTTTACGTTTTTCCTGAAAGCAACAAACTTTGCTTAGTTTGATATCAAGCATGATTATAAAATGACATTGTTCCTTCAAGTCAAGGTAAAGGTTACGAATAGTGATCGATCTTAAAAAAAAATCCACAAACAATACAAATATGTGAGGAGGGCATAAAACACGAACCCCTGGAAATTCCAGAGATGGGATTAGGTGCCTAGGAGGTGTAAGCATCCCCTCACACCCGCCGTGGACCATTTGTAGTGATCAGGTAGACGGTCACCTGAGTAAATTACAACAATTTAGAAGATCCATGGAGTATAAAATAAACTGACAGATGCTTTGTTGCCCAAAAGCAAGAGAAATAGGATGATCAGAATCAATGAAATAATTAGTCTAGTATTCAGTAACAACTCATACATCAAATTCTTACTTATCCCTCATTTAGCACTATCACCATGTAGACTATCAACAAACTATTAGTTCCTCTGTACTACTTTTAACCTCACATTGTGACCTCTCACATTGGCCTCTCTTGGTCTTTGAAGAACATTTAATAAGTTATTTTTGTCCCATTTTTATCTATTTATTATTTACAATTCTATCTGATCATTAAAACTATGAAAGTACTTTTTGTATTATTCAATTATATTTTTTGCATAATTCTCTTATTCTATTAACTTTCAAATACATTATTTACAGTGATTAATTATCAAAAGTAAATGGCCAAGGGAATAACTTCTCTCAGTTGAATACAAATTAATAGAGACCTGATTAGGACCAGAAAACTTGACCAAATGGTCCTGATTTAAAAATCTGGTAAAAATATCCTTGCTTTATAAAACTTTTATTCTATTTGCCTTCGATATGCCAAGGAGCAGAGAAGAATGCATTTCCACTACAGATTCAACACACCCCTACCCTAGCACTAAAACCAATGTCCCAGGGTCATGAAATTCATAAATTTGGTAGAGGTACCCTCATCATCATAACTATGCACTTAGTTGAAGATTTTCAAAGAATTAACGGATTTTCATTTTATTAATAAATATAGCACCCCCCCTCCCCCCTGAGAAACACCAAAACCTGAAGACCACAAGTTTTAAAATTTTGTAAGAAGCACAATTGTTCATCATAACTATGCACTTTATTTATCTGCTCAACAGCAAGGAGCAGAGAGGATTATTTAACAGCATTAATGCATTTTCACTATTTTATTAATAGAGTCCCATCCTTACACCAGAACATTGACTTAGAGGTCATGTTTCATGAAGAAGCACTCTTGTTCATCATAAATGCACACTTAATTAGTTTACTTTCTAACCAGGAGCAGAAAAAGAAGATTTTCAAAGAATTAATGCACTTTCATTATATATTCAATAGAGCCCCCCCCCCCTCCCCAACCCTGGGGCCATAAGTTTCACAATTTTGTAAAAGGATCCTTGTGCATCATAACCACTTAGTTCGTTTAAATAATATCCAGGAGCAGAGAAGAAGATTTTCAAAGAATTAATGCATTTTCACCATATAATCAATAGAGCCCCCCCCCCCCCAACACCAGAACCCCTGACTCAGGGGCCATGAATTTCACAATTTTGGAAAAAGCATCCTTGTGCACCATTACCATGCACTTAGTTTGTTTAAATAATACCCAGGAACAGAGAAGAAGATTTTCAAAGAATTAATGCATTTACACTATATAATCAATAGAGCCCCCCCCCCCCCCCCCAACACCAGAACCCCCGAGCCAGGGGCCATGAACTTCACAATTTTGGAAAAAGCATCCTTGTGCACCATTACCATGCACTTAGTTTGTTTAAACAATACCCAGGAACAGAGAAGAAGATTTTCAAAGAATTAATACATTTTCACTATATAATAAAAAGACCCCCCCCCCCCCCCCACAGCCCCTGATCCAGGGGCCATAAATTTCACAATTTTGAAAAAAGCATCCTTGTGCACCATTACCATGCACTTAGATTGTTTAAATAATACCCAGGAGCAGAGAAGAAGATTTTCAAAGAATTAATGCATTTTCACTATATAATCAATAGAGCCCCGCCCTAGCACCAGAACCCCTGACCCTGGGGCCATGAATATCACAATTTAGGTAGAGGGCCCAATGTTTATTTTACAATCATGCCAACAGTTTGACTGCTTGATGTCCAGGAGTAAAGAAGAAGATTTTTAAAGATTGCATCAATTTTGGTGGTTTTAGCCCCACCCCTGGGGCCCCAGGGGGACAGGGACCATGAAATTCACAATTTGTGCTCTCCTTCACCCAAAGAAGTTATATGCCAAAATTGGTTGAAATTGGTTGAGCGGTTCTAGAGAAGAAGTTGAAAATGATCAAAAGTTAACGCACGACGGATGACGCACGACGACGGACAAAAACGGATAGCAATGGGTCACCTGAGTGACTAAGGTGACCTAAAAACAAAAGCCTAACAATTGGTATGAAACAAGTCTGTCAAAATACGAACCAATGATAGGTTATATTAATAAATCAATCTCTAGAGAGGAAACAGGATTTTTTAAATACCTAATACATGATATTTCTATGAAATTTTTATTCATTTTCATTTTTAAAAACATACAGATCATCATTTAAGGTCTCAATAGAGAGAACCAATCAAAGCTAAAAAAAAAAAAAAACCAACAGCCCTAGATTTGAGACTATAATAATTTAATACATTCATGCTCTTCATCTTTATGTTCTTCGAGATTGCAGTCAGACTGTTTACACAAATTCTTTAATTCAAAATTTTGTTTAACACCGTTTTTATTCTCTTTAGGAATGTCACTCCGAAGAATCATAGCTGGGAGATGCTTGTCTTTAAATAACACTGTTGATCCCATCGAGAGAGTTCTAGTTGATCGAGATGATGCAGTGCTGAACCGGCGTAATTTCCACTTCCGGTTCCACTTCTTACGTATTTCTTGTTGAACCTTGAATTAATGTGAAATAAAATTGTTAAAATATACATAAAGAAGGAATAAGAACATGACGAAAACATGTAAAAATATTTAAAACTAGTTATTCTTAGGCCTACATTTGTCTGAATAACGCTTTCTGAATTTTACGCTCTTCGTTTCTTCAACGTTTCAATGAAAAAATACGTTTATATGAAGATAACGAACAGTATTCAAGCTCAAAAGTCCATTAAACAATACAAAATAGGAGCATGGCAAACACGGACCTCCAAACATCAGAGGTGGGATCAGGTGCCATGGAGGAGTGAGCATCCCCTGCCGACCGGTCAGACCCGCCGTGTGCTCCTGTATTTAATTTAATAGGATCGTGGAATATAGTCCAGATTGTCACACATAAAATAAAATGTTATGCGGGTAACTTTTGAAATTATCGTTTATCATAAGTATCATGTGCGTTTAATTTCCTTACCTCTCCATTAAGAAAACAGAAAAGTAACACCACGAGAAAACCCTACAAAATATAAGCCTATATATTTAAACATGAAAAGGATTATCTTTATGTATCCAGTATAGACAAGACTCGCTTTATTCCAATGATGACATGCGTTGCTGATTTTCAAACAAAGTCTGCGAAACTCAAGATCAGGATAAAAAAAATAAAAATGGCTGAGTGTTCCTGTCACTTATATGAAATGAGTTAACCCATTTCCATAGTTACAACCAGGCAAGTTCCATACATTCCGGATACTAACCTGAAATGAGTTGACTCCACTCTCTACATACAGCCAGATAAGTTCCACACTTGGATCCATACATTCTGGCATTACAACAGATATCATGTAGTACACACCAAAAAGAGGGATTAGAACCAGGGTGGAGCGGGCTAGCTTTCTGAAGTTAAAATGAAATTTATTGAAGTGCTATTCATCAAATTTCTTTCATAAAATTATCGCAAGATACATTTTAAGAAAAAAAGATTATCAGTGTTTACGTAGAAGCGGTGCAAAGGACAAAGTTGGGTATTATGGACCCTAATTTGACATATAAATTTAAAATATATACATTACAATTGATGGGAATTTGTCATTTACAGCCAAACGTAAAGCCTAGAAAAGAGCTTAAACTCAATCCTGCTTAACTTACATGTGTAGCTTGATCTAAAAGGGTATACCTGGGTACTATGACAACATAACAAGAATTTGCTATTTCGTTTTGACTTTTAAAACAGTTACTAAATGTATGTTGCTTTGGAGGTGAAAAAACATAAGCCAATGTTTGATTTTCATTTCAAAATAGCTTGTAAAATGTAACAAATTATAATTAGGTTACTTTCTGAAGTAAAATATTATAGGAACTTAATACTGATGAAATAGTCCATAGAATGGAAAAATTGTATAACTATGCAGTTTTTTTGCTACATAAAAAAAATGGTATGTGCCTTTTCAAAAATAATTTAGTAAGCTATAGTTTACTTCAGTTTATAAATTCCGTTACAAGTTTTATCAAAGTAAATCAAAGTTCTTACCTTAGCCATGTATAAGTATTTTTAATTTGAATAAAAATTGTAATATCGGAATTTTTTCTAGGGTAGACTCCATCTTTAAACATTACATGTATGTTTGAAAAGGGGGAAAATGCCTTGTTAAAAGCAAAACATATCGAGTCAAATGAAGCGATTTTAATGACGAATCTAAAGCCGTCTGCTATACATATACTTAAATATTATTCAGCTGTGAAGACAAAAGTTCAGGAGTACTGTACGACAATATATTTGAGAGATGGTGTTAATCAGATGGAAATACTTAGAAATTCCAAGGAGCTTTTAAAATTTTGAAATCACAAAATTTTAACCAAATTAAATAAAATCAAAACATACGGATTTTCAACACATTTATCAACCATTCCCTACAATAAATTGAATTCGGGACTTTTTGACATCACTGACAGCTGCTTTCTCAATAAAAATGGAATTCTTTAATTTACTTACCTTGTCATTGGTCATTTGCAAAATTATCGTGTATAAAACATTTTGATTTTACACATAAGTACTTTGAAGTTAATATTAAAAGATGCTAGAGTTTGTGACTGACAATATATTTTTTAGAGATGAAATCTTCAAAAAATCTGTTGGAATTCCCTGGGTACTAATTGCGCCTTGTTATTTGCAGATCTATTTTAGAATTCATATGAAGCAGAATTTCTGCAAAATCTTCTACATGAAAAGAAGCCTCTTAATGTGGCCTTCAATTCAACACTTAGATATATCAACCACGTTTTATCAATTAATAATATTCATTTCCGTTCCTACGTTGATTTGACATATCACTATGCACTCGAAATAAACAGACACCACAGAGTCTGACACATCTGTTTAATATTTTGATATTTTACTAGTGAAAGACATTAATGGCAAAGTAATAAAAAATCTTTATGCTAAACGTGATGACTTCAACATTTTTATCGTCAACATTTCTATCATCAACTTATTTCCGTAGCAATATAACACTATCACCTGCATATGGAGTTTATGCTTCCCATTTGATCCGATTAAGTCCGATAAGCAAGAACATTCTCAACGTACGAGTAATTTCTAAAATGGAGAAGGATATTGACAAATAAGTTGATGATACACGGATATCAACGGTCTCGTTAAATGACGTCATTATTACAATTTCTATGGCCAATGCAAAGACTTCATCAGCAAATACAACCTGTCGTTAAATCGAATGTTGACCCAGTTTTTCATAAAAAAAATATTAGGTCATTTATTTTTTTCAATGAATTGTCTTTGGATTCTCCGTTTGCCCTCATAACAAGGAGTACACGACGGGTGTGACCGTTCAACAGGGGATGCTTACTCCTCCATGGCACCTGATCCCACCTCTGATGTTTTTAGAGGTCCGTGTTTGCTCTGCTCCGCATTTGTATTTTTTCCAATGATTTTTGAGCCCGATTACTGTTTGTTATCTATTAGACTAGGGTAGAGTGGGGTAATTTCGACCACTTTTGCTGATTTGTGGCTTTCAATCCACAAAACATGACTGTTTTCAAATGTTCTAGTTAAAAAAGATTCAAGGTAATTGAGATTGATTTTTTTCTTCAGATTTTTCTGTTTTAGGAGTTAAAAATGCATAAAAAATAATGAATTGGTTTAAAAATAAGTAAGCATGTCGCATGGGTTAATTTCAAGCGGCCTCGGGGTAATTTCGACCACAACAAACATCAAAAAGAAAGATAACTCTTGCAATGCAAGTAAACTTTACCTGTCACATTTTATTCAAAATTTATGGTCCGAGAAACTATATTGCTTATTTAGAAAATACGTGTATCTATCTCTATCTCTCTCAATAAACAGAGTAAGATGGATAAGTACTAATATCCATACAGTAAAGATATGGGCTGGGTTACATAAGCTTTTCAATGCTGTCTTATAGACATCTTTCAAAATTCTTATTCTTTATTCTAAATTCTGCTTTTAATTTGCCAACTCTATCATTTAGAATTGTGATATATAGTTATGCAAATAGATAAAATTTCTCAGATCCCACAAATAATTTCTTTGTTGATTTTTAAATTCTCCAACCCAAAAGGAATTTTATTTAATATCGTCTTTTCACAACAGAATCATTCAGATTGTATATATATGTACAAGGTTTCAGCATAACATTAGAATTGCGTATATTTCTAATTTTTACCATATACACATTCATTTGGAATGCATTGTTAATATACGTATTTTACGTGTTTTGTTAATTCTTAAGAGAGATAGATCCTGAGAAATTCGATACGTCAATTAAATAAAGATTTACAGAAGCAAAGTCCTCTGAACCCCCCCCCCCCCCCCCCCCCCCCCGAAAAAAAACCTAACCTCGAACAAATCATTTCAGTATTTCGTGTAACATCATAGTGGTTTTTTTTTTGTTTCAAGATTGTTGCAGCTCTTTTGGTGTGTTGTTCTGATATTTTGGGAACTATTTGGATTTTTTTACCTGGACTTTGTGATACGATCTTAATACGACTGGTTCGTTGGTTTTCGATAGCCTCAGTCTTATTCGTCAAAGTTTACGCATACGTAATAATAAAAAAATTGACAAAAATCTGACTTTTTTTTTTTTTTTTTTTTTTACATATATTTAATATTGCCTGCACCCTCCCTTTTGTTAATTTGACGGGTTTGGAACCTTTTGGATTATATATAGCTAGGCATGCATATGTTAATTAAATAATCTGACATATTTTTTTTAATATTAAAGGTTATGTGTAGATAATATTGTACATATACAGTATAATTATTTAAGATCTAACTCTGCATTGCTTTAAACAGCTGTTGAAGACAATTTACACGTATATTTCAGAATAAGTGGTCGAATTTACCCCGCGTCCTTAAAATCAGTAGGGGTAATTTCGACCAAAATCAAATGGACGTTTCTTGTGCATTTTGAGAGAAATCCAAGATAAATTTATAAAATTCTGCAACTTAAAGATATTCCAAGAAGAAATAAAACAATTTTAATTTAACTCGTGCTGTAGACTGTTGAACAAGGTTAAACTTAAAAAGAGGTTGTACGAGTTGTCTCTCTTGCAATTCCTTGATCAAATCAAGCGCACTGAAGACTGGGACTTCGAATGTCAAACTGGAGACATAAATGATAGTGAAAAATATTATTTATATCTCTGATCGAGCCATATTTGCAATGAACAATTATACTACGGCACACAATTTGAGGAATAGTTTTCTATAATTCCGAATAAATTAAACTTGTCTCAACACTTCCGTAGGTCTTTGTGTGGTTTTGAGTTCCTGTGGTCGAAATTAAACGGTGGTCGAAATTACCCTGACTTACCCTACCCTAAAAAAATAATAATAAATCAGATTTATTTAAAATCTTACCGATAGCGATGGCTGTCATGCATATGCGATGCTGTTAACTTTGTAAAAATAACCCGTATTATGTTGATGAAAAAAATGAAATTGACCTGTCAAAACGAAAAAAAAAACCTATTATGTATTGACAGAAACGTTTAATTTAGTCATTAATTGATAAAAATGTGTCAGGTTATTTATAAGGATAGCTCTGAGTTTTCCAGATCATGTTAAAAATATCATTTTTAAAAAAGCACATTTACCACAATGGTGGCTACTATAGGTCCTCTTATGATCCAAACAAACTTATTCTGAGCTGTGTGAGTGCTCCAACACCTACAAAAGTAAGTGGAATTGAGTAAATGAAGTACCATCTCTGACTAGATTCAGAGCTTTAACATGTTATCTATACGAAAAATGTAAAGACAGCAAATAGTAATCAAACTCAAAATGAAATCTATTCAAAATGACGATTGCATTTCAATCTTCTTTAGTTGATATAGATCACATCGATTTCAGGCTTTATGTTATTGCATTTTCTCGTTCGTACATTTTTGGATTTCTCTTTCTGGATCTCCTAGGCCAAAGGCTGAAATGAGTTTTTTGAAAGAATAAAATCCTACGTTTTCCCGTCTGCCTATTCTCTCTTTTAACTTCCTTTCAAAACTTTTCGTTTAATTTCATCCAAACGTTTATGAAATAAAGTCAATTTTGAACTTGACTATTATTGTCTCAGAACGTGTGCCATCTAATAACTTGCATTTTCATTAAATTCTCTATTAAGTTTTAGATTTATGGGTTTCTTAATGGATGCTGCAAATTTATTGGTAGTGAATAAAACAAGTTTTCACTGAAAAGAAATTCCAAACAAATTCCAAAATGAAATGGAAAACAAAATCCAAACAACAGAAATTAAACACCCTTTTTAGATTTTATTCTGAACTACTTCAGATGTTATTTTATTTTGAAATAACCCAGTCCCGTAGGAAGCAATTTCAGTTGGGGGGGGGGGGGGCACAACCATACATTTTCAGATTTTCAGTGGGGGGGGGGGGGCACTATCAAGGTCATCAGACGTTATTATTGAGGGGGCACAAGTATATAGTAGCTATGTTTTCTGTAGTATTCTATACATCGGCAAAATTATTGGGGGGACACGGGCCCCCCGTGCACCCCCCCCCCCCGGCTCCTACGGCCATCTATCCATTAGGTTTTGTCAACAATTAAGTGTATTCTTTACATCTCTTTACCTTCATCAAATCTTAACTCAGCTGTTTTCTAAAAATAGGTTTAAAAATAAAAAAAGCATCATTCAGGAGTGGCATGAATGCTCATATGTCATTCTTAAATAGGTTAATATATGTTTGTTGTTTAGAATAAGTATATATTTCCATTCTATATAGTGTATATAAATAATCAGGATAAAAATTCACCGTAACAAAGTTAAAGTGCTGCATTATTTTTGTAAACAATTGACACGATGTTTCCTCCGTTGTACAAAGATTACATCGCGTTGCCTAATTGATCTAATGAATTACAAATGCTGGATAGGGTGTCATGTAACATCTAAATTGCATTAAAACAGACATATTTGGCATTGAAACATAAATGCAATTTTGAAATCTTGAAACTAAAAACGGGCAATTATGATAAGTGATGTCTGATAATTAATTGATTCAGCTATTTTGTGAAATCAATTAAAGGACTGCACAGCGTTAAAAGCTGATAACTATCAACATGTAAATTGACGACTCACAATGTGTCTTCTAGGTAACTTCTGACCAGTATCCAGGGAATAACACAAACAACTGGTAACACTGTTAAAATATACTCAAAATAATATAGACATGTATAAAAATCTCTTCTTAGTCAAAATGCTCACTTCAGTCACCATGGCCCTGCTGTTCTTTAGATTTATTTTAATTTCTTAAAGATTTATCCCGCCTCCATTATCACGAAAAATTGAGCTTCTGTTCTGACCCCAACTAGCCCCTTAATCTAAAATGAAGTCAGAACTCCATGGTCATTATACTTGTTTGCAAATACAACCCATCGTTTGCTCGTTTTTTGCTGACGTATTATACCAGTTGTGAGATTAAGCCATTTCTTTTAGCTTTACAACATTTTTGACTACATATTATTCCCATTACCTGATAAATGCAGAGGGCTAAAAGAGGGTGTGACCAGTCGGAAGGGGATTCTTACTTTTTTTAGACACTTATCTACCATGTTTGTGCATTGTTAGGATAAGTTTTGAGTAGAAGATTTATGCGACCTTTAGCTGTTTAGCATCTTCACATTTTTTTTCATATATGAGTAATATAGTCTTATTGTCTCCATGGCACCTGATCCCACGTCTGTTTTCAGAGGTAGGTGTTGGCTCTGCTCATAATTTGGTTTACTGACTTTTGAGGATGAACATTGTTCTTTATCATCATATTTCACTTAAAAGGTAGATTTCTAAAGATTTTTTTCCCTCTATACAAGCTTTATAGAGAATTTTATACCCGATTCAGGTCCCGGTCCACAGGATCCACGGGTCCACAGGAACCATAGATTAAAAGGACCGCACAACTTCAGAATGTCTTTATGTATATTTATGCATTTAAGAGAATAAAATCATTTTCACTGCTATTACATAATGATAATATGATTTGATGTAGCCGAACTACTCTTGAATTTTTCCTCATAAAACTCTGATCCCCGAGTGTAGCCTCAAGAGACTCGGGGAATTATGATGAATCTATACTACCCAGTCATTTTCTTCTTGTTCTTGAGATGAAGATTTTTTAAGATTTCATTACATTTCCCATGTAAATCTCTGACCCTCCATTATGAACCTACCCTACCTCGAAGCCATGCTTTTAGCAAACTCGAATTTAGATTACCTTTGGAGAAAATTGCTTATTAATTTGACCAGAGATCAAAAGATCCTAAAAAAAAAAAATACTTTTAACTCAAAATAACCATTTGTAAAAATTCATTCCCTCTTGTTGTACCCATTTCACTTCTGGTGGATAGGATTTGAACAAATCTACACTATCTGGGAATCCATTTTGCTAAAATTACTATGATTTTAAATAAGTAATTTTTTTACATATAATAAGGTACAACTTTGATTTCCCAAGTTGGCTTTAACTTTTCCACCCGGGGGCCACGATTTGAACAAATTTGGATTTACGCAATGGGCTTGGAAGGAGGTGTTGTCTTTCAATTGTACAGACCTGAATTCCCTATACCCAAAGACATTTTGTGGCAAATCAGAATGAAATTGGTTTTCTGGTTCTGAAGAAGTAGTCGAAATTGTGCAATGTTTAAAGTTTACATGTGGACACACAGACGGACAAACATACTGATGACGGGGAACAGGTGATCAGAAAAGCTTTTGAACTATTTGTTCATGTGAGCTAAAAAATCAACGATTGATATTTAATATCTTAGTCTATCCAAGGTAATCTTATTCCATTAATCCTAATTTTAAAAACAAAAATAGAACTGAATTGAATATTTTTCATGTCCATAAAATCTTAGACTTTAAAAATAAACGGTTTTTGTAAGAGGTGTAATCATTTTTTTTTTTTTTTTGGGGGGGGGGGGGTTAAGATTTGACTTTAAATCAGACTCATAACAACCATGACCCTGATATTTCCCAAATGATCTTGATTTGAGAGCGGTAATACTTATTTCAATACATCAATACATTGTTACTTGATTTTCTCTTTCTGGATAAAAAAAAATATTGTACATTTAAAAAGCAGTTTGATTTTAGAAGATATGCACAAAGACCTTGAATTAAGACTTAAAAGGACGCTTTGTGACCTAGGAAATCGGGAAGTCTGGACTAAATATATCCCTCACACTTTACTTACGCCATCCTGCTAAGATGTACAAATGGAACCGTTTGCTCTTTTTGAACGTTGATATGAAAATGATGTTGTGTAGATACAATCCCTCAATAAAAATCCATATGTAGTTGGCCACAAGGATATAATTAAACGACGTAAACACAAGCTTACACGTCCAGTTCTGTCAATATAAAATGAAACAGTTAAACGACTTGAACATAAGCCTAAAAATTAAAGGACATGAACAAAAGTTTTTGCGACTTGTTCTATCAAGTAAAAATGATTTTAATAGAAAAAATTGAAAATGTCTCTTAAAAAGATGATTGTTTAATATAACCTTTATACAAAATTAACATATCAGTATATCAGTATATATTATATAAAGCATCATCATAATGTCCCATAACAAGAAAAGGAATAAAAAGAATTAAACGAAAAAAAAAAAACCATCCTCATATCCTGGTTGAAGCATGATTTGAACGAATTTAAAACTGCAAACTATTTCCGAAGGTTTTTACAGAAGATTTTCCTTACTGTCTCAATGGTTAATACGATAAAGCTTTTTAAATGACCCGATTACTTTTCCCTTCCCTATATTATTCCATTTGAATGTGTCATTACCCTTCATTGGAATAAATTTCAATTCTATTTAATCATGTTTCTGTTCCAGGTTTGGTTGAAAATGGTCCAAGGGAGGTCGAAAATGTTAAACGTTCACTGTCTCACACGAAAGCTTCTTATAATAGAGAAATATTCAGCAACACATTCCCAAATTAAAAAAAATAGACAGGTGTGCTTATTAGAGATCCTTCATATGCTACTTAAACAAACCTCGAAAAAAAAAATGAATTTAAAAAAAAAAAAACCATTACTTCTGAATTTCGTCATTAATCTCTCTGGCGTATTTCTAAATTTTGTTGATGTAAATTCATTCCTTCTTTTCACTACTGCAGCTCGGATATGGGTTATAGCCACAAACAATGTACTTAAATACTTTAATAGAATTTTATGGTGATTCGTGAAAAAGTTATCAACTGAGATTTTATAATATAGGGACCTTGCCGAGTAAATTTCAATCATGTTGCCTCCGCAAAACACTTTATCTTTTTTAATCTAACAAGAATTTATTTATTTATTTATTTATTTATTTATTTATTTATTTTTTTGCATTTGCTCCAATTATTTTCTACAAAAATCTCATAAGAATCAATCTACGGGAAAACAGAAAACCGAAAAGGGTTAAGAACGCAAAGAAAGGCATAATGATGCCAACTGAAAAGGCGTTGTTTTCAAAAAGTCGTTCTAACACCCTCTTTAAAGCATTCTAACGCCTTTTTAAAAAGGCTTTTTACAAATTTTGAACAGGCGTACTAGCGAAAATGAAAAGATTTTGTAATGCAAATTGAAAAGGTGTTATTGTATGATAATAATTATATAAAAGGTGGGATCAAAGCCATCTTATTTCATGCAATATCTAAAGAAATTTGATAAACTGCTACACATCTACATATAGCAGACAACTATTTGCAAAAAAATATTAAGAAAAGTCACAATTCTTCTTGTGAAAATCTGGGTTTTAGGCCCAAGCATCGTGGGGCTAAGCTGGTCATACCGGTATATTAATTATTATTAAACAATAAACATTTATGTTAAGATTCAAAAATCTTTTTTTTTCTTTCCACTTGGAAAGAAATCGGGCAATCTATTTGAATTGGCATCACGAATATCAGTCTTTCAACAAAATTGTGAAATCATGACTCTTTGTCCAGGTGTCAACTGGCAACAGAAGAGAATTAAAGTTGATAAACTTGAAAAATTTTACTCTCATATCGATCCAGCAGGCAAACTGTTTGTCTGATTTATATGGGTGTTTAACTCCCTTACAATAAAATAAAATAAAATAGAAATAAATAAATCAAAATTAAATAAAAGAAAATGTGAGCAATATACACACATGTGCCCCAAATAATTTTGCAGTCCTCCACCGGCAAGTGGTGGCGTCTCAATATGAGTGAAAACGTAAAACAACAAACAAACAAACAACTGCTGTGTTGGTCAACAATGGAAATCTCATAACATTTGAAAATGTAAACCTGAACATGCAAGCTGTATACCTAATACGCTAAGGTAAGCCATATGTTCTTACAATATCGACTTGAGATGAACATTATTTCGCTTTTGAAAATTATTTATTTCACATAGACGTTATAAAGCCTTTCCATTTCGCATTATTACTATGTGCAAAGGCATTATAATGCCTTTTTATAAGCCTAGTAATGTCATCTGAATAGGCGTTATAACGTCTTTATGAAAGACTTTATAACCCTATTTGAAGAGCATAATAACGTTTTTTTTTGCCCCCGTATCGAAGTTTTTGCCCTGTCCGTCCGTCTGTCTGTCTGTTTGTCTGTTTGTCCACAAAAACTTTAACATTGCTCATAACTTTTGATTGGTTGGAGCTATGGCTTTCATATTGCACATGCGTATTCCTTGTGACAAGACCTTTCTTTGGGTGCCACTATATTTGACCTTTTGACCTTGACCTTAGAGTTTGACCCAGTTTTGCAAAATTTTACCCAACTTTAACCTTGGCCATAACTTTTGAAGAATTGGTGCTAGAGCTTTCATACTTCACATGTTTAATTCTTGTGACAAGACCTTTCTTTGGATAAACAACTATAACCCTTTCACCTTGACCTTGGAGTTTGACCTACTTTTGAAAAACTTTAACATTGGTCATATCTTTTGAACGGTTGGTGCTAATGCTTTCATACTTCACACATGTATTTCTTGTGACAAGACCTTCCTTTGGAAACTAACAACTTTGACCCTTTAACCTTGGAGTCTGACCTACTTGTGAAAAACTTTAACATTGGCCATAACTTTTGAACCGTTGCAGCTAGGGCTTTCATTCTTCACATATGTTATTCTTGTGACAAGTCCTTTCTTTGGATACCAACAACTTTGACCCTTTGACCTTGACCTTGGAGTTTGACCTACTTTTGAAAAAAACTTTAACCTTGGCCATAACTTGTAAACGGTTGATGGTAGGGCTTTCATACTTCACATATGTACATGTAATCCTTGTGACAAGACCTTCCTTTGGATACCAAAATCTTTAACCCTTTGGCCTTGACCTTGGAGTTTGACCTACTTTTGAAAAACTTTAACATTGGTCATATCTATTGAACCGTTGGTGCTAGGCTTTCATACTTCACATATATATTCCTTGTGACAAGACCTTCCTTTGGATACCAACAATAGTAATCCATTGACCTTGACCTTGGAGTTTGACCTACATTTGAAAAACTTAAACCTTGGTTATAACTTTTGAACGATTGGTGCTTCATCTTTCATATTTCACCAGTATATTTCCTGTGAGAAGGCCTTTCCTTAGGACCATTAATTTTGACCATTTGACCTTGACCTGGATGTTTGACTTACTTTTGAAAATAACTTTAACCTTTTCCATATCTATTCAATGGTTGCTGCTAGGGCTCTCATATTTCATAGGTATATTCCTCGACACAAGACCTTACTTTGGGTACCAACTGTTTGATTTGCACTTGAAAAAGTTTAACCTTTGCTGTAAGTTGTCATACGGGGGCATTAGTGTTTCACAAACAGATCTTTTTTTATATTGCATTATAACACCTTTATGAAAGGCGTAATAAGGCATTATAACATCTTTCTGAAAGGCATACATTGTGTAATAACGCATTTTGAAAAAAAAGAATAACACCCTTTGAAAGGTATATTTACGCCGTTTAAAAAAATGCGTTATTACTCCTTCAATATTGCATTATCACTCCTTTCACTTTCCGTTACATGTACCTCTTTGAAAAGAGTATCAATGCCTTTTTACTTCGCATTATAACGCCTTTGGCTATAATTTCACTTTGCGTTATTACGCATTTTCGTTTTGCATTATTGCGTCTTTAGTTAAGCATTGAATCATTATTTTTTGTAAGATGCAACTGTGTTTGCATACAAATTGAGTAACGTGCGTTATAGTGTTAAGAAAATTTATTTGCACACACCGTTGACAGGGCTCGAAATAATTGATGGCCCGCTGGTCTGGGGCCAGTGAATTTTCAATCTGGGCTAGTGCATTGCAGAAGGCATGTGCCCTTTAGGTCAGCATTTTTTTTTATGCATAACAAAATTCATTCAATGTCGGGCTAGTTAACTGGACATGGGTGTGTGTTCCAACGTCTGCTGTTTCTTGTTTTGTTAAGTTGTACATCTAAGTATTACAATATAAAAAATATTACTATTATTATTATGGTTTCGGGCGAGTCTTTTTAAAATTTACTGGCCCAGTGGGACAGTGAAAGTACTAAGCTGACCAGTAAAAATTTAAGGCGATAGCCCGAGTGACCAGTAAACAAAAATAATTATTTCTAGCCCTGCCGTTGCAGTTATGACACTATATCTTTCCAAAAATAATGATTCAAAGCTTATATTTTTCATCTTTGTCAAAATCAAACGCATACTTTAACCTTTTGACCCCCTGTCCGTATAATGGTGTTTTGAATGCCGTAGCTTTCCTCACATTTTATAAACAAAATACAATTGGAATGTAATTTTTTATTTTCATAGATTGATCCTAATAAGCATTAGTAATTTTTCATTCATCATCATCTTCATTATTATATGTGCATGCATCATCATGATGGGAAATTTTGCATTCTGTATATTTTTAATATATTTTGTTTTGCTAATTAAACTTTCTCTTAGAGTATGTGCATGCATAAAAATTTAAAAAGGGGCCACACATTACCGATCCTTCTGATGTCAGTATTGCTGTGTTGTTTACGACGGATGAACGTCCTTCCGGTGTATGAAACACGTCTTTGATGAGACAAATTATGGATCGCAAAATAAACGAAACGAATAAGTTCATGTGAATCACATTTCTCTGGCAGTGCAACCTCCTGAAAACGAACAAATCTGATATTTTTGTCTGCTGTTGGCATTCATAAGATAATAATTCAAAGAGTGTTATTAAATTCCCATTAGGGTCTTTCCATTCTGCCTTTTTCGAGGGAAAAAAAATCCAATGGCATACTAGTCAACGACTATATAGATATATCAGACAGGAGTTATTTCTACTTAATTCAACAATAAAAAAAGTCTTTAACGATAGGTTTTAATAATGTCAACTGAAAAGATAATATTCTGCGTATATATACATCAGAGTTATTGAATTGCAATTGAATGAAGTCCTAAAAACACCACGAAGTACAGCTGTATAGGTATTGTGTTGAACAGGTATTTCATTCATTGTTTGGTTTCAGGTTTCTCCATTTCAATTGTGCATTCTTCTATATTGTTCACTCCAAAGTAGCCTTACTTGACCTTTTGACCTTGACCTTGGAGTGGGGTGGGGGTATTACTATATTCATACGAAAGGTTTTTAGATCTCACTATGTAATAAATGTATAGAAAGAAATTCAAGGATACCATAAATAAATTGCACTGTATTTCTCACCTCAATGTTATCATAAGTCCCATAGCGACAATCAAACATGCTAGAGATATGGAATATCCTATGAAATTGAGTTTGTCTATCCCCGGGAGGTGAAGCTTAAATAAAGGGGAAAACAAATAATCAAAACATGAAATCATATTCCAAAAGAACACGGCCAGGAACACGTTAAGTTCCTAGACAGTACCGTTGTAAGAAACTTTTAAAGTTAAGCACTGAAAATGGTTCGTTGTCATGAACATACAGGTGAGGTTATGATAAAATCCGTCCGGTGTCACGCAAAAGATACAAGAATTAATACAAAATGCCTAAATTTTAACCTTTTTGATAATTCTAAGAATAAATTTGAATTTTGGAAAACAGATACAACATTCAGTATTCCATACTAAGATTTATGTATTTGATATCCACAATACATTTTGAGGAGTTTTGGTTGACGATCACATGCTCATGTGTGAAGCCATGATCGTGAGCTGGAAAATTATAAATTTCTTATATTTAATTCCTCGAAATGGTTGTTTTATTTTAAAATATGAATAGAAACTTCATTTTCAATGTATCAGGCAACTGACAGCCTTTTGTAGCTAACATGTTTAAGAAATCGCAATTTATAAGCAAAAAGTCCGTTGTCAGTACATGTTAAGTTTATCTGGTCCGGTGTCATTTTTCTTAACATGTAAGTAAATCAATAAAATGCAACAGAAATGATCAAATATATGCTTTATTTTAAAAAATACAAAGCATATTACAAATATATTTGAATCTCGGGGTCGTCTTAAAGCAGCTCACACCAACGTGCTAACTATTCACTAATGTTTTTATTTTCAATTCATTTTCTCTTAGGAACCTGCATCCTAGCTAGTATGCAAACATATACAATTTGTTGTATATCATCAGTATAACAAAATTAAAATGTTATGCTCAGGTCACATGCCGATGGTCGGGCGACCAAATTATTTTCGTATCGTCGGCTGAAAAAACATGATCGGCCGACACTAGTATCGGGCGACGCAGAGTAGTCACATTAATTCCTAGGAACACCGATACCTTTAAAAGTAAAAATATTTATAAGTTGGCCAGCCGTCGCCCAATCATCGTTCGCTAGGCCGCAGTTTGATTTTCATCTTCGGCCGACAGTTGTACAAAAAACTCGATTCTTAAATGTCGACTGACTGACGACCGACTTTAAAAACTGTATGCCGATGGTCGGCCGATGATCGAAGGTTGGTGGACGGACTATTCAATGATTGCTTCAATTGAATCGGCCACAGACGCCGAAAATAACTTGACCCGACTGACATGCATAAAATTGGTCGGCCGGCGAAAAAAAAATCGGGCAAGACAACGGCCGATAATATGAAACTTATGTGGAAGCATCCTCAGGTAATGTAGATTCAAGTTTGTTCAAATCATAACTCCGGGGGTAGGATGGGGCCACAGTGGGTTATCAAAATTTTACATAGGATAATATAGGAGAAATCTTTAAAAATCTTCTTCTCAAGAACAGCAAAGCCATAATTGGTCATATTTATATGGAAGAATCCTCAGGTAGTGTAGATTCAAGTTTATTCAAATCAATGTTTAACATAGGAATACATACGGGAAATCATTAAAAAATCTTACTCTCAAGAAACAGCAGAAACGTGATTGGTCATCATAAAATAAAAGCATCCTCAGGTAATGTAGATTCAAATTTGTTCAAATCATGATCCCACAGAGGGGCAAAACAGGGGATCATAGTTTAACAAAGGGTTATAGGGGATATATCAATAAAAATTTCTTCTTTAGAAAACAAAGCCATTATTAGTCATATTAGTTAAAAAGCATCTTTAGGTGGTGTAGATTCAAGTTTGTTCATGCAAATCATACCCCCCCCCCCTCCGCACTTTAATATTTAAACTTTTGAATACCGAACTGATTTCTGCTATTTCCGAACCAAAGTGCTCAGGTGAGCGATGTGGCCCATGCGCCTCTTTTTTTTGGTGGATTTGTAAATGTAATTGGTGTGTAAATCACATTGACGTATCTCGTGTGCTATTCATGCAGCGTGATTGTGACGGTACATTTTGTCGCCCTGTTCATATTGTCGCCGGCGACAATGTGTACATACACTCACTGAGCATATTGTCGTCCATTAGTACATGACAATGCATGGCAATGTTTCCATATAGGTGTGACTAATCATTGCTTTGCTGTTGTTGAGAAAAAAAAATTAAAGAATTTTCCTATATATTCCTGTGTAAAACTTTGATAGCTCTTTTTGGCCCCAACCTGGGCCCGGGGGTAATGATTAAAAGAAACTTGAATCTACACTACTTGAGGATGCTTCCATATAAACATACATCGCTAATCACGGGCTTATTGCTGTTCTCAATATTTGATCCAAAAATTTCAGAACGGGGAAAGGGGGGGGGCTGTTTTTTTTTTTTTTTTTTTTTTTTTTTTTTTTGACAAGCCAAAAAAAAAAAAAAAAATCGTTTGTGTGTGAAGGAGTGTTACTGTATAAGTTAGGTATATTTTTTTGATCATGAAATTTTACCTGTGGACAAAATTGAGAGTATATACAGGTTAAAAAAACCCCAGAATTTACAAAAGCAAATAAAATGAAAAAAAAAAAAACGGAGGGGGCAGGGTGGGATAGGGATGGGGGAGGGGTAGAGGTGCGCCGGTGCTAGATCCGCCTTTGATTCTTGAGAAGATTTTTAAAGAGTTTTTGTATACCGTATATTCCAACGGAAAACTTTTATCACCAATTGTGGCCCCACCCTACCTATGGGGGTCATGATTTGAACAAAATTGATTTTGTTTTTGTTTGTTTGTTGTTTTAATATCCCACTTGCCGGTGGAGGGCCAAAAATTTAGACCTATTCTCGGAACTTAGGGCCATTGAAAAGTGTGGGATCTTTTTCGTGTCAGAATCTAAAAAAATTAAAAGTGCACTTCATGTATGCACTTTCACATAAGTAATATCTCTCCTGATCCAGAAGTTCTTGAGAAGAAAATTTTGAAAGATTCTATTAAATTTTTGATCACCTATTGTAGTCCCTTTCCCAGACATGATCTGAATGAATCTACACTTTATAATAAAGCTTTCACATAAGTTTCAACTTTTCTGACACAATGGTTCTTTAGAAAATTATATAAAGATGTTACTAAATTTTCACTAATTCTTAACTATACATGTACTTTCTTGAAAGAGGTCATGACCATTAATTTGAACAAACTTGACTCCCTCTATCCACGTTTGCTTTCTGGTAAGTTTGGTTGAAATTGAAATTGACCAATAGTTCCTGAAAAGAAGCTGAAAATGTGAAAAGTTTACCGACAGACAGACGGACGACACAAGAAATGTGATCAGAAATGCTCACTAGAGCTATCAGTTCAGGTGAGCTAAAATATTTTACCTCCTACACCAATTATATCGTCACTCGTATGAGAATTAAGCAAAAAAAAAAAAAAAAAAAAAAAAAAAAAAAAAAAGAATTCCAGATAACATTTCTACTGAACAAATAACTTTCAATCTCATATCCATGTATGTATAACGAGAAAAAAAGAATAGACTGATTTTTATCCGGATATCTCAAGAATTACGGTATTCTGACGTATCATAGTCATGTAAACCAATGCTGGACACAATTTTCTGAGCAACACCATTTCTCCCTACAGTAATGCTAAATAAATACAACTTGTTTACTTATTTATCGGCCAAACACTTTGTCTATTCTTCTGTCTGTCTCTCTCTCTCTCTCTCTCTCTCTCTCTTTCTGTGTATGTGTGTCAATCTCTCTCTCTCTCTCTCTCTCTCTCTCTCTCTCTCTCTCTCTCTCTCTCTCTTCACGACCTTAGTAAATATTCAACACAATATATCGGCGACAAAATATGCCAATGGTCACAGTACATATTGTCGCCGACGACAAAACGTGCCGATGCTTGACCGTACATTTTGTCTTCAATTACGCAGGAGGAAAAAAAGGCTCGTCTCGGTACAAATTGTCGCCGTCGACAATATGTATCGATGGACGACGATATGTGCAGTCAGGGTAGGTACATTTTGTCGCCGACGACAATATGTATAAAACGACAATATGTACCATCACACCCCTCTTTTTGATGGCATGCTTAACGATACCTAAAACAACTGAAGATCGTAGTGTATACAATACAGTAACGACAACGGACTGATGACAACGGACTGACTTTTCGTATCTTGTCATGACAACTGACAAAAATTGAAATAAATCAAAATTTTCAGTTTTAATTTGTTTTAAATTTTTCTGTAAAGGCTTACAACATGTCTTGATACTGTCTGCACCAATTGGTGTGTACATGTATATTGTATTCTATTTACGAAAAATATAACATCTCAGTAGGAAAACGAATCAAATCCTCAAGTGATTTCAACAGAGTTAATGTCGCCAACGCAAACTCTTCTTTAATTACTTGTTTTTAACGGCTGAAATTCATACAGCACCAAATAGGGTGTCAGCCCTGTTTCCCATTGCAATTTCAGACATTGTTATAGATAATTTAACTTGAAAAATGAAAAACTTCTTACAGCCTGTCTTCTCAAGTCATGACACCGGACGGATTTTATCATAACCTCACCTGTATGTTCATGACAACGAACCATGCAGTTTAAGTGCTTAACTTTAAAGGTTTCTGACAACGGTACTGTTTAGGAACTTAACGTGTTCCTGGCCGTGAAAAAGGTTTAGATTATTTAATATTAAGTCTGCTCCACAGTATCAACGACACCACTTTTTGCATTATACATGTATCCCAAAATTCATTTATCCTTTGGCTTAAGGTGATGGTTTAGTCAATAGGTTATTTTTTCCATTATCTACTTCATTAATTGTGATTTTCTGTTGCTTACCATGAATAATTTTGTACATGTTCGGAATCAAATATGAATTTAGAAAATCTTTAGAAAAAATTAAAACACTCTCTCGCGCTTCAAAGCAATGGCCAACATTCACATTGTTAATGTCGGTAGACTTTGGAAAATAATATCAAACATGTTTATTTCAATTTCATTTATCCAATCTGGCTAAAAGTGGTTTGGAAATTATGAAGCTTTTATGTTGAGTGATATTTTCTTTAAAAACAAGTCGAAGTTTATTTGATATCGTTTTGAATGTGGTGGAATGATTCATGTGGGACAGACTATAAATAGACTCCTAGAATAGAGCAAAATCATATTTAATACATATTTTTTAGCATATAAACTGAGCTTTTTTGTTATTAATACGTCGTATCTAAAAATAGGGGCAACAGAGGAAATTTTCTATACCACCAGAGGAATAGGGGAACCTTCCTTGTATTGACACTCCGTGAAGTCCGTCCATGTCTGATTGTAGTCGGGGTGTACGTACCATTGTCCATTTGCTAAGCACTCGCGACGAGCTTGTGCTGAAGGAAAAATAATATATATATGAATCTGTTATTATAACAGTCTTGTATTTTTTTTCTTATCTTTTTTTTCATGGTGTGACAAATCAGTTTGCTCACGTAATAATTTGCATACAGGCAATTATGCATAAAATTTTCACCCGAGCAAAAACTTTGTTTTATCATCATCATTACAAAAAATAAATTATCAGCGTGTTTTAATTTTCCTTATATATAACTGGTACCGATAAACGGTACCATTCCCAATGCCCAAAAACATTAATTTTTCCCAATTTTGAGACTAAAAATTCCCAATTCCACTGCCAAGCGACAGACTACGATGACATCGTATTTCTTTTTATATGAAACAATGTACAAGTTGACTAACATTGTTTTACTTCCGCTTAAATCGAAAGTAGAGACTAGTAATATGGCGCGAACTGTTGTGTAGACAGTGTCATACATTCTGACAAATTGAAAGCATGAAAATGCAAAAACGAGGGACATTGATATGCAAACAATAAATACTTGTTTATTCTTTAAAACATTGAGTAATAGGTTATGAGGTTGAAATAAACTCAAAATACGTTTCATTTGTTTAAAAGACAGAAAATTCTCCTTTGTTCTACTTCAATGCTATTTTCCCCAATTGAACCAGCACCGAACCCTTTCCCAAAGGGTAGAAAAAAATCACTGACTATTATTCCATTTATTTTCATTTTTCCCGATTCCTTGATTCAATAAAAATTGAAATTTATGTTATTTTAAGTCAATAATCAGGAATCTTAGGCTGCAGGCCCCACTCATTGTATAACTTCAGCCAAACACAGTATAGAGGCAATTCCGTCAAGTGATAAGCTATAATGGCTTTACGATGATTTCAATCTCGGATTAGGCCATTTGAAAATGTAAATACAGTATATGCTTGTAAATCCTATAATCATGATACTTTATCAGTTTATCTGGGTTTTTTTTTTCCTATATGCAAAGTTAACTTATGTTTTATATCCATACAAACATACACTCTACAGGAGCAGAATGCATGCATTCGTGTGAACTAAACAGAATTTACATTCATTCCTTATCCGGCAGATACACATAATTTCTTCTTCTCTCGCTTTATAATGTACATATCTATCTTACAAGGGGGACGACAAATACATGTCCTCATAATTTTATTTACCTCGTGTGTCGAAGTTGTTAATGTAGTTTGGACAGTTCTGTTCTGCCACAATTCCCGCCCTTGTGTCAGGCCAGCAGACGACATTATCAAATGTCTGATTACAGTAAAGACCTGTCGGACATTAAATAAGACGTTCAATATCAGTTCAAATACATGTAGGAATCATTGACGCAAGCGTCAACAATTGGGATGCAACACATATCCGAGTGTAAAATATTTTGTAGAAATCTACACTGGAATTTAATTTTTTTCTTACGTTTTGATAATAATGAAATGAATAAAAATAAATAATTTAAAGTGAATTTCCGCACTTTGTTTTAAAGCATACCAAAAACTACATGACTGTGTATCTCATATACCATTTGTTTTTACTACATAATCACAGTTCCTTTCAGTTCGAATTCTTTACATTTTTTCTTTCAAAAATCAAACACATAATGCAAAGTTTTATACCACATGATCATTGCACACACATAAAAAAAGATTGTATTGACGCAGGGGTTTAGAACTAAGATCGAACAAAGATTACAAATAAATATAGACGTTTTTCGTGAAATGACTTTTTATTAAAAAAAAAATGAAGGGCAGTTGGGAGTGCCAAAGAACGTAAACAAAAATGATATTGAGTTTCGGGTTCCTTGTGATCGATCATCCCATAAATCAGTTCAAGAGAAGGCTTATATTTAATGGCGAGGTTATTCATCATTCCTTGACTATAACTCGCTACATTATGGGCAATTTGATACAAGTACGTAACATGAATCCCTCATCCGGCGTAAAGCTGCTCTCAACGAATTTTGAAGGCATGAATCTTTGATTGAATTGCCAGAAAGCGTAGGAAATATGAACATGTATGACGGGGTGAATGGCATGGACTAATTACCTGATATCGATGTCTGGGGGCTCTTCCGTGTCGTAAGACATCTTTCCTTCGCCTTCAGTAGCAATACCAGTTGTTTTTCATAGCTTAGCTTAACAATATACACTTTCTGTAACAAAAACAAAAATCATTCATATTTAGAAGTCTTTGATTTTTACAAAGAAATAATACACTACCTCAACTCGAAATAAAATACACTACAGTGTCTCACATACATGTGTATCTGTTTCATATTTCGATGTTTTACTAAAGACTTTGATGGCAACTGACAACAAACGCGATGACTTCAACTTGTCTATCGTCAACTTCCATAATATCCTTTATCACGTTCACAAGCAGTTTACGTTTTCCATTTGATTTGATACACAAGAGCATGTTCTAGGTACGAACAATATTTCTTTAAAAGGAGGCAGGCTATTTACAAATACGTTGAGGATTCAAGGAAATCAACAATCTCGATCAAAGTCAACATTTCACATTGTATATGGTCGTCTCGATTCAATTACCTTGTTTGCAAATGCAATCCGCCCTTAAGTCGAATGTTAAATGACCTCTTTCAAACAAATTGTTTGGCCATTTTTTTTCACATTTCAATTTTCTACCGAATTTTTTTCCCATTCACCCGATCATGACAAGAAGCAGGCGGCGGGTGTGACCAGTCGAAAGAACTAACACACGGTTTATGATTAGTGAACAAACGATTTATAAATTGAACTTCAAACCCCTGTTACAGCACTGAATTCTGAATCAAGAGAAGGTGACTGACGTTTTTCACACTAATTGTTAGGCCATTATTTACACACTGAATTGTCGACGGATTTTTCCGTTATTTCCCGATCATGACAAGGAGCACACGGCGGGTGTGACCGGTCGGCAGGGGATGCTCACTCCTCTGTCTTTTATTAATTTTCAATCTAAAGTTGAAAATGATTACATGACTAATTGTCGTGTACTCATTATATGAATTTCTAATTCAATAATTAGTAAACGACACTATATCAGTTGAAACTGGTCAGTGGGAGTATTTTGCCAGTCGACTGCAACCCTCCCCCCCCCCCCAAGAGATACAATCCATCTGCGTCGAAACGGCATTAAACAGAGTAGAGGGGGCATCGACACACTTTAAGAGAGTGAACGAAGTTGGTATATACTAAATTTACAATATCATTTTTTCAAATTTAAATTCATAATGTAGCCCCCATTTAATTCCTTCTTAAGACATCGAAATAATTGTCTTGGAGTTGTACATAATTTTATGAAACGATGAGATAAGTGAAACGGATGTCTTCAGATATAACTTAGTCTCATAAACGGGCCTCAGATCTACTTAGCGTTGTTCTAATGAATAATGAAAGGTACATGTAGCCACAGACAACATACATTATTTACTCTCTCTCTCTCTTCTCTCTCTCTCTCTTCTCTCTCTCTCTCTCTCTCTCTCTCTCTCTCTCTCTCTCTCTCTCTCTCAGAAATCAGTCCTTACTATTTCTTATTCTCTTTCTCTCAGAAGAAATGAGATATTTATCAAATATAGACATAAGTTAAATATAAACACATTTTTCATGTGAATTTAACAAGTTAAATACACTAGACCGAGGTAACAAATGAAAGTCTTAACATCTGGATAATCTAAGTGCACCTGAGATTGATCTGAAAATGTTCTCAATCCGAGTAGATAATCTTTGACGAAGTTTTCCACTTTTTATGAGATATACAATTTGTAAGCTAGATATAAGTGTCAAAAGGCAAATAGTATACATATTTCTTTTGTATCGTGCATGTATATGCGATTAATTTCTTGTTTCCCTGAAATTTTTACAACACGGTATTTAGTTGAACAGTTCTACTCTCTGTAATACCGTATCTACAAAAATTAAATTTTTGCTGGTATACTTTTTTTCTCTCGCCATTAATTTTTCACAGTGTTCTCACCATTTTTTTTTTTTGGTCTAACAAGGATGCATGTGCAGCAAATTTACTTGCACTCTAATATATGTCAGTCACATTAATTATATCGACCCCCCCCCCTCCAAAAAAAAAAAAAAAAAAATGAGAGAAAATAATCTGAATCAGGAAATAGAAACTTTTTATTTAAAGTCAGATTTTCGAACAAATAACACAAGCTCTGTAAAGCTTTTGACCGACAAAAAAAATGTGAATAAAATTTGTTGTCTTCATCGCTCCTTACTCTCATTTGTTCAGGGCAATGTTGTAACCCCCCCCCCCCAACTCCTCTAGTCTAAGAAGACCGACACCAAGAAACAGATAACAGTGTCTATATTATTCTAGCGGATTTTTCTCTTCTGGGTAGAATTCCTTCATTGCAGCAAGTTGCTTGTGTTCAAGTTTTTTTTTATTGAAGAAAAGAATCTACAGTTATATTTCTCTCCACAGCTTAGATTTTGAAAAAAGTACAATAAATTAAAATACATAAACAGAATAAAGGCCCCAGGACCACAACGCTCGCCTGATTAACATAGTATTTCAGAACGTTCATACATTTAAAATTATCTTATAATCAAATATTATATTAATATATTAACCATCACAGATAAAAATGAGTATTGAAGATCCTAAAATTATACATGTATATGTACTAAAATAAGTAAAAGATTAATCCTTGACATTGTAAATTCACGGAATCCCTCTTCTGCACGCTAGATGATAATTATTCAGGGAAAATTTGTCACTAGTGGCATTTTTGTAAGGTTCAGTGTTGCAGTCTCAATGGAGTCAAAATTACGAAATGATGAATTTTCAATAAGAGAATGGCATTCAAACATTTTCTTCTGAGCTTAGAGAAGCGGAGTAACCATCGATGATAAGAGCAGGAGCATGGAACAAAGACTTAATACAGATGGAGGGTATGAAAAATGAAGGGAGGGGGGGGGAGTGAATTCGCGAACGGTCACTTTTTATCGATAAAACATAAAACCCTGCAGCTTGCAGCAAACATAGATACACGGTAGGTATAAATCAGAAGGTCATAAACATATTTACTGTTTTTTTTTTAAGGTTTTGATCCTACGCCTATTTTTACATTATTGTTTTTATAAACAATATTTTGTCTTTGATAAGATAAATCATTGTAAATTTAAAAATAGCTATGTTTATGTAAACGCATTCCGATCTATGATTGACAAGGTCCATAAATATGTAAATAATAGATGTTATGCTGTAATAATGAAAGTCGGTTAAAAAATTGTTTAAAATTCTGTGATTTGAAATATTTACGGGCTACTTAAGTGTTGTTCTACAGTAAACTCTATGTACACATTTTTAGTTATTATGATAGTGATAAACGTACTTAAAATTTAATTGCAATAGTGTATAAATCTATCTACTCGAAATGGTTTGTTTAAACGTATCGCCATGAGACACAAGGAAGAGGCACAACCGGCTATATATTTTGAAAAATAAAAATATTGGATAGCTGTTTCAAAGAAAATGTAAATTTTACTTGAAAACCATGCCTTTTCAGTAATATAATTAAACTGCATTACAAAACATTATTTGATCTGGCTACTATTTTTATATTTGTACATACTTTAATCTCCGCTACGATCATAATTTCAAAATTATTAGGGAGATTATAGCAAACAAATTACACAAGAACTGAACCAAAAAAAAGTTGGTTAGTAAAGCAGTTACTTGAAGCAATATTAATATCATTTTAATTGGATTAAATCACATACCGGATCTTGATAGCAACCTCTGCCGTAAACTGTGTGAGGAATTATTACGACAGTCCACAAAGCGACGTTACACAGTAGGAATCCCATGGCACTAAGAAGTCATTGATATTCCCAAACAAACATCCTCACACTAAATTCTTTAATTGGAACGCTGAGTCTGAAATAATGATTTCTTCTTTCTCTATCTCACGCCTCTGAAATACCAATCAATTAGGCGAGTTTAATTATATTTTCCCTATTTCTTTCGCCTCTGTAGTTGGTTGAGGTGTAACAGATCAGCGTATAATTGTAATCAACCGCGGTTGTCATTCACTAGTTGCTAATAAGGATACAATGCCGATCTTAAACACAGCCGACGTTATGATAAAACAAGGGGTGGTTGTTAAATTTAACAAATTGTTTTTTCATTCCAACTTTGAAAATACTTATGTTTCATCGACACATTATCGCTCCAAACAGAAATGCAATGTCGCTTGTAAACAGAAATATTCAAAATTCCAGACACTGTTCTTTGCATGGGGATGTCAATACCAGGGCATAGGTTTAGAATTCCATCAGTGTGCGATTTGATTCTGGTCTTTTTTGCGTAATAATGCCTTCGCCAAGGTCACATGTAGTCACCACTCTGGACTCTGGTGAAGAAATATATGTCATTCATGCAGTACTGTAGTAACCTGTAGTAGATACGGAGTGATAAAAAATATACACGTTAGAGTGACCTTCATTTTATCACACAAAAGAAGCGATTCGTCAGCCACACACAATAGATGATATTGTGTATTGCAGTGGCCAGGTAAAACATATACTCAGGCGCGGATCTAGAGGGATCTCCATTTTTAGGTGGTACAACATTGAAAAATAGAAATAGTCAAATAAAAACAAATAGCCTCTACGCTTGCAATATGAGCAAAATAGAAAAAAGCGGTGGGATGGGAGGGGATGGGGTGATCAATTACTGAATCTTGGGGCAACTTCAAATTCTATTTTGAGAGAAATTATCTAGACTGAAACCTGTGACCTCACCTGAGTTTAGGAGAAAGTCATAAACGAGAGGGTAACAGTTTAAATGATGTTATTTTTATACCACCTTACTTCAATTAATTTCTCAATAAAAACAATAAACTACGCCCTAGACCTTTATTTTTATGTAGAGTGTGTGGAGATCTTGTATAAGAAGTTCTTTATTTCGTACCACTCTGCAGTATTAGGTCAAGTGCATGGATTTGAAATTCTACTTAAAACTTCCCTGTCTCGTCTATTTTTAAATCTTAAAAAATGTGTTTACTACGGAAGCCGGTAGGTGCCAGGTAGAAAAATATTTTATCTGGCGGCCGCCAAATAATTATCTGGCGGCCGCCAAATGATTTTCTGGCGGCCGCCAGATAAAAAGATCTGGCGGCCGCCAGATAAGTTCTCTGGCGGCCGCCAGAAAGTTATCTGGCGGCCGCCAGAAATTATCTGGCGGCCGCCAAATAATTATCTGGCGGCCGCCAGATAACTTTCTGGCGGCCGCCAGATAAATATGTGGCGGCCGCCAGATAACTTATCTGGCGGCCGCCAGAAAGTTATCTGGCGGCCGCCATATAATTTCTGGCGGCCGCCAGATAATTATTTGGCGGCCGCCAGATAAGTTCTGGCGGCCGCCAGATAACTTTCTGGCGGCCGCCAGATAACTTTCTGGCGGCCGCCAGATAATTTATCTGGCGGCCGCCAGATCTTTTTATCTGGCGGCCGCCAGAAAATTATTTGGCGGCCGCCAGATAACTTTCTGGCGGCCGCCACATATTTATCTGGCGGCCGCCAGAAAGTTATCTGGCGGCCGCCAGATAAAATATTTTTTCTACCTGGCACCAACCGGCTTCCGTAGTTTACCAATGGCTCTTGATGTGTGTCAAAATATTAAATTATATTATCTGTGTGTCTTGTAAACTCCTTCAAAGTACAATGCTTCAGCTTAATTTTGAGTAATGGATATGAGTTCCTTTATAGTTCGAGGACTTTTATTGTAAGATGCTAATAAATAGACATTGGCAGACGCGGACAACTATTATGCTCTTTATTTCACCTGCACAATAAATTTAATGACAGCATTCATAAATTTTAAAACTTCTTTGTATGATAAACACCACAAATCAAATTCAGAAAGTTATTATATATACTTTAAATTAATTTATGAATATACTTACACGTATCTATATCGAATTCGAAATCTAATACAACTCTGTTCTAATTTGGATCATTTTAGTGTCTTTTTATTCAATATTTTTTAATTTATGTTCCCGCCCAAGAGAGAAAAAATCAATATTTCAAATAAAATTTAAAAAAAAAAAATCTTACCGAATTGTCGAAAAATGATCGAAACAAGGAAACTTTTCTCTTGAGCTCCGCGATGTTGTTTATATTTACAATTAAGACACACTGACACACGACACCACAATTTGTAAACAGAAAAATCACACACACACACATTACAGAAAGGAAATTTAATATTCGTCAGAGAGGAAGAAACTATTATGTAATCATTTAATGGGCTGCTTTTTGTCAAAATGAAGTAGATAAGGTTACAAGCTGCACGACAAAATTCCTGTAAAATAAAGACAGTCAAGTGAGGCAAATCCGATATAATTTCCACATAAATATACATAGAGAGCAGGGAACTGTTCACCATAAGGGAAAGAAGGACTATATTGTTAAATCAGTGAGACTGCAAATCTGAAGAAGGGCTTACAGCGTAGTTTTTTTTTCTTTTTTTTTTTTTTTTTTGTTTTGTTTTGCTTTTAAAATTAAAAAGAAATATGTGACCAATTTTCTTGTCATATTCATTTAGGGAAAAAAGGAAAAAAAAATGAATTCTCAGTTCATTACATGTAATAAAAAGATAAAACTGTCAGACGGCATTTTTCTTTCATTTCTTAATTTATATTTCTATATGGTGCATATTCATTCGCTTACTGATCATCTTCGCTAGCCATAGGTGACGATCTTTCAAGAGAAGAGGAGCGGATCGTCACTCTTTGCTAGCGAAGATGACAACCCGCTCCTCTCATCGTGAAAGAGGAGAGGAGCTGATCGTCACCCTTGGTTAGCGAAGATATATATTTACTGTTGTGAGGGTCAAGAGTTTTAACTTTTAATCTTTAACATTAGATTCGTACTGTAAGAGTTACGTCTCTTTATTGTCATCTCTCTCGAGAGATGACACATTAAGTTTGTAACCCGGATATGAAGTCCCAGTGTAAGCTGCCATTGATAAGCTGGTGGTCTGGCAAATGACACGATTTTTTAATTAGGAAGTGTAAACAAAACTGCTCAGCGATCTGTCAAACAGGCCATCTTAAAAAAGAAAAACTACACACAAATCATGGAGAGTCACAGAGACAGAATCGCTTGGGTAGTGGTGGGTCTTCAAAATACATGCAGTTATCTAATGATGGTCAGCGCGTGTGTATCAGAATGCACTAAACATGGCATCGATTAGAACGACCAAGGCGTGGATCAAAGCAAAGTGGCGGGTCTTCAAATAACATGCAGTTATCTAGGCTGTTGCGTAAATGATGGTCAGTGCGTGTGTATCAAAATACACTTTACATGGCATCGATTAGATCAGCCAAGGCTTGGATCCAAGAATTTACAGAAAAACGAAATCAAAGTAAATACTCGCATTAAAAGTTTGAATACAACTGGTGTGAATTGATGACGAAAATTTTACCTTTATGTGTACCTTAGTCATTCAATAACTTGATGCCATTTTTAAAATACTTTTTGAAACAAATAGCGAATGTTATTCAAGGAAAAAAGCAGAACTTGAAATAGAGATACAAATTAAGCAGAGACAAAAATGTTTCCGATTTAAGGAACTACTGGCATTGGAAGAACGTTTATAATCATTGTGAGTTTTCACGCATATCTGCACTATTCTTTTTTTTTTTTTTTTTTTTTTTTTTTTTTTGTTCTATAAAGATAAATGTCAAAAATACAAAATTATTACCTCTGTATAAAAGACGCAATTTCTTTACCCGACTCGTATTTTAAGAATTTATAATTAAAGCACCTGCAATCATTTTCTTTGTGTAAGTTTAAATTGCGTTATTGGTTAATGGCAAAAAAGCTATCAAATCACTTCTCTTATTCTTGAAATGAATCTAACATTATTATATAAAATGATTGTTTCCTCGAACAGCCTAGATATCAGGGTTGGTAAATTTGTACTCTTTCAGATAATTTGTAAATGCCTAATCTTAGTTTATAAAGTTTAAATTTTATTATTGACCTCTATTTAAATGCATGTGCGGGTTATTTCTTTGGATAAACCATATATTTAAAAGTGGAAAATCTTTCGAAATCAACTGAAGACCGGTGTCGTACAGTGAGACGTCTACCATGAGGCTTCCCCCGGAAGGGTGGCTATATAGTGAGATATCCCCCGGGAAGACTGGCTATATAGTTAGACTTCCCCCCGGAAGATCGACTTGCTATAGAGTGAGACCAACCCCCCCCCCCCCCCACCACTTTCATAGTGCGACTTCCCCTCAAATGTAGTTTCCGGAATATTTTTTTTTTTCATTGTAAAACAATATTTTTTTATACAAACGTTTTCAGTATATGAATAAAAGTTCTCCATTAATTAATAATTAAACATCTTAATAGCCTTTTAACAGTTTGTTAGCCAAAAATAACTTTGGGATGACATGTACATGTATTGATATAAGATAACTGAATGAAAAATGTACGTATGTACGTTATTGTTACAAGTATACATTTTTCTTTATTATATTGTATTAATTGCATTCTCCATGCAGGTTAACATAGGCAAATTCCAAGAGTCCACGAGTAATGACCCCTTAAAAGTTCAATGTATTTCTTTTGATAAGAATCATTTTGGATCAATTCAATAATTTACTGTGCACGATAAATTTTTAATGCGCAGCTTTCCCGGGGGGAGTCTTACTATACATGTATATAGCCAGACTTCCGGGGGGTGGTCTCACTATTTGAAACCTGACTAATTCAAGTTAGCGTTTTACTAATGTCCGAGTAAGCTGCTGTGAAGTAAAGTCAATGGGAACTGCGAAGGTTTTACCCATCTTCTTGTATAACAATTGTTTACAAATTTTACGAATACATTTTTTAAACACACATACAAAAAAAAAAAAAAAATATTTGAAATTACTGTTGAAAATGTTCACTGAAAGGCAACTTGCCTCCCCCTTCCCCACATTTTTGTTGCAGTATATTCATAACCCCCTCCCCCCCCCCCATGTGTTTTTCGAGAAAGTCAAAAAGTTTAAATCTTCCCTCCTCACCCCTTTTTTTCCTAGTCAAAGATTATTCAGGTAAGTTGTAATTTTTTTTTTCTGACTACTCCCCCCCCCCCCATTTTTTTTGAAAAATAAGTTCTTTTGTCTGTAATACTGAGGGAAAATGTTACATTCCACTGTTTATTCTGTGACATTAATGAAGCCAAAGGGATGACATTTCAAGCTTTCTGGAAAGCCAAACTTGTCTGTATATGCAGTCAACTCGCTGTCATAGATTTAAGGAGGAATGTCGCACCAAAATTGAATTTGATGGAATTTTAAGACGCCCCTTTTAAACTGTAGTTTCAGCATTGAAAGACCGATGAAGCTCCTAATTATTTTATAGGATCTTAACACCTGATTGCTTCTACCTGTTTCCTGAACACAGTTTAAAAGATACAGTGAAACTTAATTATAAAGGAGTTAGAAATAAGTTATAAGAAATTTTCGGTTAAAAAGATTTTTTTATGAATGCCCTACGCGACTTCTCAATTTGTTCAATACGGGTATAAAGAATTTCTGTTATAAAGAAGTAATAATCGAGGTCCCAGTGACTAAAATCACTTATAAACAAGTTAGATTTACTGTATGTTTATTCAAGAATTAAGAGTAGAAACCGATCATAATGTCATGCAAAAGCTAATCTATATAAATATCTTATATGTAGATACATTGTCTCTTCAATACTGTCTTAACAAGCATTTAAATTTTAAAAATCGAGAAATAGTTTCAGAATTTAGATTATATGATCTGAACGTAAATATAAAAAAAGGGAAGTTAACAAGTAGAGAAATAGTAGAAAATACACACTATGTAATATCTGAATGAAGGTAAAGACGAATTCCACTTTGTTTTACTGTACCTAAACAGACGAAAAATTAAGGAAGAAATGCATAAAAAAATATAATTATGCAAAGGAGAAAGGCCGGAAGCTGACCATTCTGTAAGAGAAAGTACTAATCCAGGGCCGTAGGTACAGTTTGGGGCCTCTAAATTAAAAAAAAAAATATTGTAGAAAACAGGTGTTGTATTAAAAATTGATTGTTTCAGGTAACACATAAACAATGACAAGATCCTTGTTCACAGAATGGAGAGCCACGGGTAAGCAAGGGGAGTAAATGCATTTTTTTTCTTCTTGAATATCTATTGTGTTCTTAGATGGCAAATGCCAAAAGGTCTTGGTCTAAAGAACGGACAGTCAAAGGTGGATTTGGGGGAATATCAGTATTTATACAAGTACATGTATGTAATGCTTCGAATTCAATTAATAGTTTGCTTTGTGAAGGCCTGCATGTTACCCTTCGATGGAGAGTATAACAGAATCAAAATCTAATTAATGGTATTCGGACCTGAAAAAAAAAAAGTAGAGTAATAACATTATTAGCCAAAATCCGACCTGAAAATGGATTTCTTTTCCATCAAAATATAAATGATCATATTCGAATGAAATCAAATATTACAGCAGTGTATTGATGAGGGTGCGAACAGTGTTATGAGTGTTGGATTAACCATGAGCCGAACTTCGACCTGAAAATGCACTTCCTTTTCAATAAAAAATACTGATCAAATTCAAATCAAGTCTGGAAATGTTTCAATTTTAATTATTTTTGAGAAATATAACCTGCAGCAGTGTGATATTTCTGATGCAAACTGTGTTCCGATTGTTTGATTGATACTTTAAAATCCATCTAGTGCAGCATCAATTATTTTATATCTAAACATCATTAAAGATAGAGAGTTTAGATATTCCCGGGATGTCTTACCATCGGAAAGAAAACTGAGGCAACAAGGGAAAGGGAGTTGATTCCTTGGGTCAGCATGAATAGACATCCTGTAATCCAACAATTTTCTTGGTGGAGGTTTTTCTGCCAGTCTTTTCTGTCTGATCTTAGAGTAGGAAATCCCTTTAAAGAAACATAACTCTTGTTTGTTTGTTTGTTTTATTTATAACAAACCCGAAAGCCTTGAGCAATACTGTGCATCTTAACAATTCAATGTACGTTGGTATGCAGTCCAGAACAGAGCATGTCAATATTAGATGGGGATACATCATATAGAATTAAAGGAAATTAAAAAAAAAAAGTAATTATTTCTAAGAATTTCAATTTAATTATTCATTTG